GTGTGGATTATCGATAGAGGCTGGACACTTGGATGACTCCTTTTACGTAAAGATTAAAATCTACACTACTAGAGGTAATCTTTTACCTATGCTTTAATTCATGTATGTATGATTAGTTGATTCAACGATTTGATATTGAGAGTCTTAGATGAAGAAAAAAATTTGTTTTATTTTGCATCTTCATAGGATTCATGATCTTTCAATTTGGATCATGGTTGAGATGCAATAATCTCATTATGTCTTGGCTTCTTGGGTTTATTACACCTCTAATTGCTATAACTATTTTCTATATGGATTCGGTAGTAGAAATTTAAAAAGTGCCACGAAATGCTTTTCACAAGTAGACGACTCTAAAATTTATAACTTATCGCATGCTTTGTGTGTAATTACTCAAGAAAATCATAGTATTAATGAGTATTTCATTGAGTTGAATTCAGTTTATGAACAATTAAGAAATTATATGCCACTGCTACACCGTAAATGTAGCATGTGTAGTGTTGAGTGTTTTAAGAAATACATTGATCTATATTAAAAGGACTATGTATTTTGATTTTTGAATGACTTAAATGAGTCCTATGCTTGCATTGAGGTCTTATGTGATCATTATGAAGCCTATCCCCTATCTTAATGAGGTTTATAATCCGGTAATTAGGAAGGAATCTCATAAACGCATGCACTTATCAATTACAACCATATGTAGAATCTTCAACAATAGTAGCTAGAGGTACTTTTCAAAATAAGCCTTGAAATGTTATTATATGCATGCATTGTGGAAAACATAGGTCGTACCAAGGATAGGTGTTTTCGATTGATTGGTTTTCCAAACAATCCAATGCTTATTATAAGAAGAGCTAAATTAATTCTAAATTTGCTAGAGAGAAAGCTACTTTAATAGGAATCAATTATGTACTTAAGCAAATAGATGAAGGCATCTTTTCATCCGCAAATACAATAACTAATCGGTACGACTCATCCTTGGCTAGTACTACTCGTAGAGACAAAAACACATGTATCATTATCTCAACATCAAATTTAGTATTTGATGGCTATTCTCAATTCGCGGAATGCTTTAGTCGAGGTTTCTTTCAATCCTCCTAATAATATGAGCATTAACTTTTCACTTCTAATAAAACAATATCCACCTTATTCTTCATATCATTGCTACACATAAATTTCACGAGTCTTTGACAAATTTTATGAGTAATATATTCTAGATCATAGATATAGGAGCTTCGGATCACATAGAATGCAACTTAAATTTTTTTTATTTCCTATCATACCATTAATCAAATCTTTGTTATATGCTTAGATGAATCTAAGGCTCATTCAACTTACAAATAACAAGAGAGTTCTTAATTTCAATGGTGACTTTTGTTTTATTGAGGCAATCCCTTGATGGATAGTGATTGGATTTGCTAAGGCTAAAGGAGGTTTTTACATGTTGCAAGTCTCTAATGCTCTACTTTAGTCATCTTCATATGATGATTCCTCTTCTACATAATTTTGGTTGTTCTTGTATTTTTTCAAATAAAGTTTATCTTGTTCTTGATGTCAAAGATTGTTTTGATCTTTGGCATTTTTGGTTAGGAAATTTATCTCCTAACAAATTAAGAGTCATTCATCAAACTTGTATTGAAGTTCATGTTGTAATAAAGTCAAATAAAATTCCATGTATTGTTTATACCATGGCTAAACATAAACATCTCTCATTTCTTGTTCATACTCAATATAATTCCATTTTAATTTATTCATGTTGATATCTAGAGGTTGCTATTCTTAATCTACCCATTGTAAGTATCACTATTATTTAATAATAATTGATGATTTTACTCCAATCACTTAGATCTTTTTTTTTTTTTTTATGAAAACCAAATTAGATGTTAGTTCCATCGTACCTATTTTCTTCAACCTTATTCAAATCTAGTTTGGTTTTCATATTAAACAAGTAAGGTCAAACAATGATCCGGTGTTTAATTTATCGCATTTTTATTTTGAAAAAGGCTGTTCTACATCAATTGTCCTGTATGAAAACTCCTTAAGAAAATGGTCTTATTGAGAGGAAATATCAACACTTATTTTTTACAGCTAGGGCTTTACTTTTTCACTCTCACCGACCTATTTCCTTTTGAGGAGATGCGGTTTTAATCGTAACTTACTTGATCAATAAAATTCCTTCTCCTATACCATAAAATAGAACACTTTACTGAACTGTTATTCAATAAATTTCTTTCCTATAACTATCTAAGTCTTTGGTTCTCTTTGTTTTGCCTCTATTCTAACTCATTGGAGAAATAAGTTTGATCCTATATCCAAACAATACATTTTCATTGATTATCCTAATGGTATGAAGGTTTACAAGTCTGTATGATCTAGCTTCCAAATCTGTTTTTGTATCCAAGGATGTTGTTTTTCATGAGTGTATTTTTTTATTTTTCTTTAAGACTGGTTTTTCTTCAATACCAAATGTTGTTTCCCCCACTCTTTTACATCTTTTCCTAAATATTTTTCCTCATACATCAAACGCTTCATCAAATTTTCATACTCTAGTTATTGATTGTTTTCCGGAAGGTCTTATTCCTTCTCCTAGTTTTGACCTAACTATTGTCTCATATGAAGTGCAAGACTCCACATTACATAATATGCTTGCCTCTTCACCAAATAATACTTCATCCTTAGGTGTTTCTATTAGAAAAATAGTAGAGTTAGTAAACCTCCTTCTTATTTTTCCGACTATCAAACCAGGTTTGCCTATTGTCCTTGTCACATAGTCTATTTATTTTTCTATTGTATATCTCATTCATCATTTGATCTCATCTCGCTAGGTTATCTCATTCACATATAGCTTTTATTGCTTCATTGTCTAACCTTGATGAACCATAAACATTCACCAAGTAGTGCAATATGTTCACTAGAAAGATGCTATGAAAGTTGGGCTTAATGCTTTCGAGCATAATAATACCTAGACTATTGTTTCTCTTCCTCTTAGGCATCACAATGTTTATTGTAAATGCGTTTATAAAATTAAACTCCATACATAAGGTTCTATAGACAAGTATAAAGCTAGGCTAGTGGCTAAGGGTTATAGTTAGCGACCGTGGCATGACTTTCGGGAGACTTTTAGTCATATGGTAAAAAAAAATATAATTCGTGTCTTTCTAGCTCTTGTAGCATCTCGGGGGTAGTCTTTATCATAAATAGATGTAAATAATGCCTTTCTCGATGGTGATTTGAAGGAGACGAGGTTATATGGACCTTCCATTGGGATAAAGTCTAGAGGAAGTATATACAAACAATTTGCAAGCTTAAAAAGTCCTTATATGGATCGAAACAAGCATCAAGACAATGGAACTCTAAGCTTACTCAAGCTTTACTATTTTTTGGTTTCTCTCAATCTAAAGTTGATTACTTTTTGTTCACTAAAAGAGTATATGCTTGATACATTTCTTACATTACTTGTCTATGTTGATAACATCATTATTGTAGGTAATTATGATGCGGATGTTGAAAAGTTCAAGAAGTACTTACATTCTCAATTCGGAATGAAGGATTTGGGAAAGTTGAAGTACTTTTTGGGTATTGAGATAGCAAGGTCCGAGAAAGGGATTTCTCTATATCAAAGAAAGTATATGATTGATCGATTGATTGAGCATGGATCGTTGGGTGCAAAACCAACCTTAACTACATTTGTATTAGAGGAAACGTTTTAAATACATGGTCGCCACATCAGCCTTATTAGGTAACTAATTATGTATGTAGTTGAATAGTTAGTTAGTCAGCTAGCTAGTTAAACTAGAAGAAAACTTTTTTTGCTTCTTGTAATATAAATAGATCTAGATATAACTCTTGTATAGTGGTGAGAGATTCACATAAAAACTTTGTAACTATTTTTCTTGATTGGAATAAGAGAAGTAGACCATTTTTTCTTCTCACGAGAGGATGGACAACATACTAGAGGAAGACATTCTGGAGCCATACGAAATTGCTGATTATTGGAAAAGGTCGAGGGCTTGGAGGAATTTTGTGGTGAGGGGGATTCTTGTTGATAAAGCACAAGTGCTCGAAAATGAATTTGAGGAGGTCGAAGATGGAGAGGGGTAGGAAGGTAGAAATAAAGATAAGGAACCGCATTCCCATGTTGGAATGGAGAAAGCGGGTGATTATAGGCGATCGAAGTGGATGGATTTACAATATATAAATAAGTAGGAGATAGAGCTAGTTAATGATATATTTGGTCCCTACATTTTGGTTTTTTCATTCCGATGTTGCTAAAACGAATGGTCCAAAGTGGCTAAACGTAACAAAATTTTATTTGTTAGTTTTCTTATGGAGGACTAATTTTTTCAGCCTCCAAAATAGCATCTACCAAAAAAATAGATTGAATTTTTTTTCAACATATGTGCAAAAATTCAACTCAAAATATTAATTTTTTTTTTTTACAAGATAGTAATGATAGTCGAAAATCATAAGAAAAACTAAAGAAAAAAGAGAGTTCGGGAAGGTTAAAATAGAAATTAGAAGTTTAATAATTTATTTAAAATAAAATAAAATTCATTGAAGTTTAATGCTATTTTTTTTAAGAATCATATAATAATGACGACGTGTATTTAATGTTTAAAACTAAAGAACACGTGTCGTTTTTAGTGACTCTATGTATTTTTTTATGTCATTTAAAAGAACTTAATTATGAATAAAAAAAATTAAAGACCTAAAAAAAAAACTCTTTCGTTTTTAACCACTAGTTCAAAGTCCTTTTATAACTAATTAGCCTAAAATTATATGCAAATCCAAAATTTGAAGGTTTAATGCAAGAAAGGGCCTTGTTTTCAAATATTTGAAACGTGTGTTAAAGGTGAACACAGGCCGGAAACCCAAACCGTAATTACCACATTGCCCCTCGTGAGTCACGACCCTGTCTGTCCGTATTAAATAATTACTACCCAGATAGAAATAGAAATACAAATTCGAAAATTTGAAATTTTGAGAGAGAGAGAGAGAGAGAGATGGCAACAGCATCAAGCAACATGAAGGGTTTCTACAGGCAAAGGAAGAGTGGTATCACGAAACCAACATCTACCAAGTCCAAGAAATCATCCCTTCATCGCGAGGCTACTCTTGGCTCTGATATCACTCAACCATCCGCCCTGATTTCCCATGGCTCTCCTGATCTCAAAGGTTTTTGTTTCCCATCTATCCTCTCAGACTTTCAAATTTTTTTTTTAATTCCAAGAACATAATTCTTTGGTGTTTTAATCGCATGTTTTCGTTAACTTGTACTCAAATTGGAAGATTTTATCTGGGTTTATTCTTTAACGTGGTAAATTTGTTGTAAAATATCGAACTTCATGTAGCTTATAGTGTTTTGTTGGTGTTTTGTTTTTTTGTTTTATGTTTAATAGATGACTATGACAAACACGAGGAACTGTTAAGGCAATTTGACATGAACATGGCATATGGGCCGTGTCTTGGGATGTCTCGGCTTGCACGTTGGGACCGTGCTCAGGGTTTAGGTCTAAACCCACCTAAAGAAATTGAGGGCCTGTTGAAGGGGGAAAAGGTTCAATCCGCATGCTTGTGGGATGGTCACATATAGAAGTTGCTACTAATACTATGCTTTGGTGTATCATTAGAAGTTAATGTATGACTGGAAGTTGTGTTTTTAATCTGTAGTGTTCCGTTCAGCCTCTGGCTGTGCTTTTAGTTTCTGTTTATATGTTCTGTTAGGGAGCACAAGTGTGTTTGCTGATTTTAATCAGAAGCTTTTATTGATGTGAACTTTGTGTGTTGCGAAAATGTGAGCAGTAGCCCTCTTTTTGGGATTATGACTCTCTCCATTTGTTGTTGACTGTTCTAACTATGGCGTGTTCGCATCTATGTTTTTTTTTTTTTTTAATCACAAATATGTGGCTAATTATTCTGCTTAAACATGCTGGAGAGTAGTGTGATCAGAATTTAACAAAAAGGTGGATGTTGTTAATTTTTTGTTTTTAATTTGTTGTTCCGCTCAGTCTCTGGTTGTGTTGTTAGTTTCTGCTTATATGTTTGGTTAGTGTGCACCAGTGAGTTTGCTGATTTTAATCAGACACTTTTCTTGACATGAACATTGTGTGTTGCAAAAATTTGAGCAGCAGCCCTCTTTGTGGATTATGAGATTATGGCTCAATTTGTTGTTCGCTGTTCTAACTATGGCGTGTTTGCATCTATGACTTTTTTAATCACAAATATGTGGCTAAGTATTCTGCTTTATCATGTCGGAGAGTAGTGCATTGTGATCAGAATTTAACAAAAAAGTGGATGTTGTTCTATATTTTTTGTTTTTAATTTGTCAAGTGTTCTGCTCAGCCTTTGGCTGTGTTGTTAGTCTCTGTTTGTATGTTCTGTTAGTATGCAGCAGTGAGTTTGCTGATTTTAATCAGAAGCTTTTCTTGACATGAACATTGTTTTCTGCAAAAATTTGAGCAGCAGCCCTCTTTGTAGATTATGAGATTATGGCTCAATTTGCTGTTCCAACTATGGTGTGTTTGCATCTATGATTTTTTAATCACAAACATGCAGCTAAGTATTCTGCTTTAGCTTGTTGGAGACTGCATTGTGATTGGAATGTAACAAGAAGGTGGATGTTGTTCTATATTTTTTGTTTTAGTTTGGAATATCATGATTGAATGCTGTAGTTTCTACTTAAATGAGCATGCTTATCAGCAGATGATGGAGGAGACCTTAAGAACTCGTCTGCATGTTGCTAACTTGTTGGAAAAGTGCTGGTACTATTATTAAATGATTGATTTTTCCTTTTGATTGTTCAATGTATTTTCTGCAAGCAATATTCATGAGACATTTCAGCTTTTTCAGAGTGTTGGTTGTTGATGTTAGTATAGATTCCGGTGTGTAATGTGTAGGAAGCAAAGATTTCTTTTTATTCTTATGCTATTGATAAGGATTAAGCGTTGTTGTGTTTAAACTACACGTTGAGATCATTGAGCCAATCTCTTCTAAAATGGGAAATGACTATATGAAACATTTAATGGAGTTGCGTGTCTACTAGCAGACTTGCAGCAGTGAAAATGGGTTGTCAACATTAATCGTCTATTAATAACCTCTGCTTCATGTTATTCCTATTGGTTTTGAACGAGAAACTGGTATTCCGATTTTTTGCTTGACTGGTCAGGCTATTGGTTCCCATCGTGTGACAAGGACAGGATATTCGAAGTTCTTTGCCCCGATTTCAGTCCTTCCCCTTTTTTTCCTTTTTTATTTTTTATCAAAATTCCATGGGCACAAAGACAAGAATTTATTGTGGGGCAAGGGCAGGATATTCAAAGTTCCTTGCCCCCAATTTCAGTTTTTTCATTTTTTAATGGGAATCCCATACGAAGCAAACAAGCAACACAAAGGAACATTATTTGCGCAGGAAAAGGAATCGAATTGTCTGGTATTGTAAGTTTACTCGAGACAAGGATACTTGTTAGAGCTTTTCAATCTGTTATTGGCATTCAAAATTTCGAACAATCTCCGTTAGGTCAAAACCCTCAAGGTTGTTTCGTCAAGTTTAGTCATGGAAGAAAACGCTGCCAATCTACCTACTTGACATTTGAATGCTACGTTAGGAATGTAAGAGGAGAAGAAAGACCAGCGTTGCACTATTTGATATGGAATTTCAGCCGATAATAATTGAATTATGTCACAATATATGGGTTTAAAGATATAATGAAGAAATTGCTGTAAGATCGCGACTTCCGCCAAGTAAAATTATAACCAAACATTGTAGGAGATAAGGTATGAAAGAATATGCTGTAGAAAATCAATCGAATCACCACAACTAAAATCCTACTCATTTTTCGTACTGGTTTTCGACTTCTTACCCATCGTCTGGAATGCAAGATGACCAATAAATTGGCAGGAGTGTGCAGACAGCCTGTATCAGAGGGGCCTGAGGAAATCCTGAAAAATCACTACCAGTTACTCCAAGAAATGATGAAAGGGCAACTCTAAGGTATCCATCCACTCACTATGAATGAAAGGGCAGTCGCAGAAGCCACAAGTGCGATCAGAGATCCTTCACATCCTGAAGGGCAGAGCTGTGCTATTCAAATATTGAATGGCAGAATCTTAAAGAAGAATAGCACCTCCAAAAGAAAATGGTTCCTGTTATTGCTGGAATTATGGCATTAGATGCTACCAAACATGCTATTGAGCAAGCAATCTCAGGTTTCTGTAATGCAACTGAGAGCTGTTTTCGAATCCCAACTCTGGGTGAACTTTTAGGGGGTTAAGTGAGCTTTCAGCGACAGTAATTGTAATAAACAATTGCAGAGCAACGGTAAGGCAAAAAAAAAAAAAGAAAGATAAACATAGCTTGGGTAGCATATCTGTTAATGGCAGCACCACCAAGCAGGTTTCCAAGGACACCATCAGCAGAGGAAGCAATCCAGACAAAGAAATTGAAAGGCATCTATTGTACCAACGTAGTGCAGGCGCCGAAAGACATTGAACGACCCATACTTACAAAAATTATGTATATTGTCCACATACAGAGGAAGTAGGTTTAAAAAGAAAGCACAACGAAATTAAACTAACAAATATTTGGAATCTAAAACCTTCGGGATATATGGACCTGCAATGGATTCTTCATCGGTACCACTGAATGCTCTAACTTCTCAGCCAAATCAACGTCATCTCCATCTACAGCTTTCCACTTGTATTTCCAAACCAAAATATTCTACAAAATATTGTGAGTTTGCTGGAATTATGACAAATTCTCCTCCCTGCACTAAATGGCATCATTTTAACCTCTCTACTGCCTGTAATTTCAAGTTCTTGGCTTCTAATATTCAAAATTCTATTAGGCTTGAATGCCATAGGACCCTCCCATATCTTTGGATCCAACCCCATCTCAGCAACCCTAAAATTTATGCTTGCATTCTTGGGTATCAAATATTTGTCCAAAACAACATCTTGCGTCACTGCATGCGGAGCCACAAAATGCCCAGGAGGATACCTCCTCAGGCCTTCCAAAATCACTGCTTTCAGATACGACATCTTTTGCAATTAAATCACTTTCTTTTACCTCTTCCTTTCTATTTCCCACAACCCCTTTAATCTCCATGAATAACTTTTCTTGTATTTGTGGGTACTTAACCAAATTAGCCATGATCCATTCCAAGGCAGTTCAAGTAGTATCGATCAGTTCCTGCACTAAGAAACTCGTTGCATAAATTAGCAATTTCATCTTCTGTTTAGTTTTCTTTTCTCGTCAGGAAATTCCAGAGCCAATAATGTATCAATATAGGATACAACATGCTCATATTCTTTTGGTGCTTTTACTACTTTTGCTTGTTCTCCCTCTCGCAACTTCTTTCATGCTCGTATTAGTGGAATTTATACATCCTGTCGGCTTTTATGGACCTGCAAGAATTCCTTATAAGTTCTAACGTCTACGCAGCAAGATCTTGGTGAGTGTTGGCCAGAAATTGAGTATATCAAACTCATGGGAATTAAACAACGCTCGGTCCCGAACTTCCTTGATCACTTTTATCTTAATTTCATCAACATTATCACCATAACACATTATGCACAAAAGAAAAAACATGGCATATTGAAAGTGATCCCTAACAACAATTGGATAACAAGATTCAGCCTGGGACTCGAGGCGATTCTTAAGGATCTGTATAATCGCCCAAGCCTACAATTGTTCCTTCTCATGTCTTAGTACTAATACTTAACCTACTACTAAAATCAACATTTAAGATACTCCAAGCAATCCAGGCATCTCTTTTAACTATCCATAGAATTAACAATAAAGAGAACTATTCAACAAAAATTTAATAAAAGTACTCAACATCACATATTTGAAGAGAAAAGGCAATCCAAAACATAAAACTGACAACAAAACTTCATTTCTGAATTTCAATTTACGAGTCGAGAACAACCAAGAAATTCTTAACCTTTCAAGCATATAACTGAAATTAAGACAACTTTAATTTATTGTCCCATTTAAATATTTTGAACATGTAAGCATTTCAAGAATTAAAGCGATTAATATAGTTGGTTTTGAATACCAAGATTTTACGATCTTCAAGTATTTGCATATACAAATTCCAAAGAAACCAAACACAAATAAAGATGAAAAAAGTCCATATCTTTACCTGAAAAAAAAAAAAAAAAACAGCCTTTGAGGAAGAGCTCTTCATTAAACCCTTGAAGCCATCTTTCTTTGACTATCCATGTTCTCTTTTTTTGATTAAATTCTCATGACTAACCATACTTTATTTCTCAATTTTCTCAACTAATTAATTGATAGAAATCAGTTTCTCCATCAGGGCATCCTCATAAACCATCATAGAAACTCTTTATATCAACCCATCGAAGGTCTTAAACATCTTTAACTCTCGCTTGTTATAACACAAAGAAGAGCTTATGTGGGACATCTTGAGGACATTCTTACTCTGAAATATCATCTAGACTTGCATGCTCTTCATTGTTGGTAGTCTTGATAAAAAAAATGGCTACTTCAACTTCCTCAGTTGAGGTCTTGATGGAAGTGATTTGAAGATTCTCATGATTTCTTCCACTATTTCTAAAAAAATTGGTGATAAGTCTTGATCTTTGCTAGTTTTTACAACCATGGCTTGGGTGATCTTGAGGAAAACTCGATTGATTCGAGCAGAGAATTAACGACTTTGTGATTTCTTGAATGAGAGTTTGAATTCAAGTAGAAATTGAAGTCTTTGTTTGGTGAAATTGTACAAGAGGAGGCAGTAAGGTTTGAAAGTAAAGTGGATAACTGGGTAGCTGTTAAGGTTCGTGAGGTTAGTGATTTTTTTGGGAACAACAAAGATGAAAAAGGGTTAAGGGTCGCGACCACTAAATGAAGGAAAAAAAAATTAAAGCATAAATGTGCTGTCGAGAGTCAAGTTCGCACCTGAGTCCTTTGTTTGAAAGGTACTTAGCTTAACCATTGGACTGTAAATGCTTTCTTGCACTTGAATTACACAAGTGCAACAATAATTTATATATAACTAAAGTAAAAAGTGAACAGAGTCATAAACAATTAAAACCCAATTCTTTTAAAGTCTTAGTAATTCTTTTTTAGTTTCATAACTAACATATATCCCGCGCGTTGTTGCGGGATGAATTATATATCATTCTTATGCATTTATTAATATAAAATTTAACATTTATAAATCCTTATTTGACAATATCATGCAAAAATAATTTAAAAAAAAACTAAAACATATATTTCATAATTTGCTATAGGGTTAGCTAATGAAAAATCCGTAACGTTGAGTAATATAATATTTTTAATTAGATATTTTTTATATAAACATGTATTTTATTAATAGCTGATAATTAAAATAATAATGTGGTAGTTTTTTGAATTTTCAATGATTAATTTTTACCATATATTATTCATTTGTAATTTATTAATGAGATAAAGAGACCACTCAAAACAAAAGATAAAAAAACTCTGTCAAATTGAGAACTTGGCAAAGAAAATAGAGATAAAAATTACACATGATAAAAATTAAATGATTAAAACAAAGTAAAGATTATAAAAGGATAAAAATAAAAATAAAAAAATTTACTAAAAGCATACAAAAAATACTTATAAATAATAAGACTAAAAAATTTTCATTATGCATAAGGTAGGAACAAAAGTAAATATTATAGAATTTTAATAACTAAAATAAAAAAATTAATAAAATAAGAATCAAAACAGAAAAATTTTCACTAAAAAAAAAAAAAGGATAGTTAAAATTTATTTAATTTTAATGTAAAATGATTAATAATTAAATATAATAAAAGTTAAATGGTCAAAATAAATGAAAGATCATAAAACAAAAACCAAAATATAACAAAAAGTTTTATTAAAAGTAAAAAATAGTTCATTGTAGGAAAAAAATTTAATTATAAAAAAATTACAAAAAAAAGACTAATTTTTGTTTTTTTACTAAATTTAATGACGAAAAGAAAGAAAAATTAAAAAATAGAAATTAGAATAGAAAGAAAATTTCGGTAAACAAAAAAAAAAAAACCTTAGGATAGTAAATTTTATTTAGTTTTAGCATAGTAAGGATAAAAATTAAATATAAGAAAATTTTCATAACTAAAATAAAAATATATTAAAAAACGAGAAAAAAAATTTTTATTATAAGGATTAAAATCACATATAATAAAATTTTAATATTTTTGATAGAGATAAAAATCAAAGATCGGAAAAGATGAATGACCAAAATTAAAAAAAAAAAAAAGAATGAAGGGACCAAAATAAATAACAATTTCCTAAGCCGAAACGGAAGGAAAAAAAAAGAAAAAAAACAGCTAGGCTCGCGAGTCAAGCTTGGGCTGCTGCTGTAAAAAAAAAAAAAAAAAAAAAAAGGAGCTACAACTTCCGACTATCGAGGTTGTTGGAATCTTCACCGGAAAGTTGGGGTTCAAGTTTCGGACCCCTAGAAATTGAATTTCGGCATTATTTTTTTCCCCAAACACCTCTAAATGACAGGAATAAAGCTAATAAATATATCTAAAACCTTAAAAATCATTTTAATGCATAGAAAAACAAAAACAAATTACACAATTAAATCGAACTTTGTTTCCTTTTTTGGCTCCAATCTACCTTCTCTAATGGTTTAATGGCTTGAAAAAATCATGGACAAACTCATCTTTCAAAGATAAACAAATATAGTGGATTTTCGCCGACCAAACCGACCTAAATAAGCTTGGCCGATGATTATCTCTCTCCTCTCGTCTCTCTCTTCCCTCCTCCCTTCTCTCTCATCTAGGGATCAAAATGGATAAGCAAATGAAGATGTGGACCGAAAGATTAGTTAGCAAAGAACGAGGACCAATGTGTAAAAAACTAATGAATAGTGAATTGTGAGTGCGTGAACGAGTGTTTGGAACGATAGAACCGACGTTTTGTTTTAATTTATTTAGTTAATTACACAACGTAGTCTTTTTTTTTTTTTAAGTATATTCAAAATAGGAAATCCCTTATCTAGAATTTCAATCTATTTATAAACTCGTTACTTAGGTTTTTTTTTTTTATTCATTGTTATAATTCCAATGATAATACAATTCCTCGGAGGATAGTTTTTCTATTATGAATAGAGACATCTATCTTTCTATCATTTTTAAAAAAGTTGACAAACTAGGTGGATACGTAAAGGATATTCTTTCTTTTCCATCACTTCGACATGTAGAAAAAAATATTGTAACATTTCTTAAATTGATCATTTTTTTATATATCAAAATGGATGATTCTAGCGTTCATAGTCGAAAAGAATAGTTACACGAGTTTTTTCAAACCAAACGAAGATCTTTATCTTTTTTTATCTAAAAAGATTTTTAACTTTGATTTTTCTTGATTCCCATCTAAATAAAAAGTTTCATAAGTCCAAGTTAAGTGGAATTTCTCAATTCTTTTCCTGTTGCAAATTCCAATTTGAGTAGAAAATAAAAATTCTCTTTATTCCTTCGTTCATACCTATTTCATCCATTCCATATTCATATATGGAGTTAGATAAAATTTTATGTGATTTTGTAAACAGAATATCAATTCCATCAGTGCTGGATCGATCCATATAATTGGATGAAAAACGATCCAATAATGGGATTTCTTTTTCAATAAATGGGAAATTAAAAATGCTTGGGGATGGAAATGGGGGAATGTCTATAATACTTGGATTTAATCAGATACAATTTGAAGGATTTTGTAGGTTTATTGATCGGGGCTTAGTAGAAGAACTTTATAAGTTTCCAAAATTTAAAGATAGAGATCAAGAAATTGAATTTAAATTATTTGCGGAAACATATCAATTAGTAGAACGATCAATAAATGAAAGAGATGTTGTATATGAATCACTCATATATTCTTTTGAATTATATGTATCCATATATTAATTTGGAAAAACAGTAAGGATATGCAAGAACAAACAATTTTTATTAGAAACATTCCTTTAACGAATTCCACGGGAACTTCTATAGTAAATGGAATATACATAATTGTGATAAATTAAATATTACAAAGCCCTAGTATCTATTATCGATCGAATTGGACCATAATGGAATTTTGGTTTATATCGGCACTATAATATCATATTGGGGAGGAGAGTTGAATTAGAGATTGATAAGAAAAAAAGCATGGATATGGGCTCATATGAGTAGGAAACATAAAATATCTATTCTAGTTCTATCATCGGCTATGGATTCGAATCTAAGAGAAATTCTAGAGAATGTGTGCTACCTTGAGATTTTTTTGTCTTTCCCGAATGGTAAGGAAAAGAAAATTGGATCAAAGGAAAATACCATTTTGGAGTTTTATCAACAATTTACTTGTATAGGCGGAGGTCTAGTATTTTCCGAATCCTTATGTAAATAATTACAAAAGAAATTTTTTCAACAAAGATGTGAATTTGGAAGGATTGGTCAACTAAATATGAATTAGAGACTGAATCTTGATATACCTCATAACAATACATTTTTGTTACCATAAGATATATTGGCAGTTGCGAATCATTTGATTGGAATGAAATTTGGAATGGATACACTTGATGACATGAATCATTTAAAAAATAAGTGTATTCGCTCTATAGTAGATCTTTTACAAGATCAATTCGGATTGGCTCGATTCATTTAAAAAAATGGTTAGAGGAACTATATGTGGAGCTATTAGGCATAAATTGATACCGACCCCTCAAAATTTGGTTCCAATTAATCTGGAATAGTTGAAAGGCGCCTCTTATTCTTATGATTTTAATTCCTGAATTTTTGATTATTTTCAACATGAATCTCAAAATCCATTGAAATAATCAAATCGGTGAAAAGAAAAAAAGAATAGTCGATGTATGCATTAATAAAAGAAAATCAAGAAATCTTTTTTTAGCATTCCAAAGAAATTGAATTAAATATATCTTCTTTTTTTTTTTTTCCAAATTCTATTTGATTCGAGTGGAGTAATTTATTCTATGAATAATATCTAAATAATACCCTTTTAATCATATAATCAAATAAATATTTGAATGATTCTTGTGTTCATATTTCAAAAGTAAAAAGAATACAAATGATAGGAAAGTTATTCCAACTAAATTCTTCCTAAATTCTCTATTTTAATAAACTGGTTCTTATTAGAGTTATATAAGGACAATAAGGAACATCAGAACCTTTTTTGTTTTTTATTTGTTTGCCTTTTTCTAGTTAAAAGGCAACAATAAGTCATTCTTTTTTTAGTTATTTAAAATTTAATTAAATTAAGTGGTTTTCCACAGAAATAAAATAGACATAGTGGTTCTCTAATGGGATACTATGCATTCTAAGATATTTTCTTAGAGAAATCACATGTTGCGCACTTAGTGCTTAGTTTAATATTTATTTTATTATTTTGGTTTTAGAAATTCGATTTATGCTATACTTTATTAACTTGACTCATTTCATATCATTATTCAAAGACTGAAAATTGGCAAGGTTTACTAATCCTTTTCTTTTCTTCGAAATCTGAAAAAGTTTTTATAAAATGCCTCTCCTTAGATGACAAATACCAAGGAAAAGAGACTTTACAAATAAAGCCCGATGATTGGCATTCCATTGCCGTCATTTTTATATGTATATGGTTACAACTATCTATGTTCCCAATGTGCCTATGATGTAGCACCGGATGGGCTATTGGCTAGTATATATCATCTTACAAAAATAGAATATGGTATTCTAGATTAACTCTGAAGAAGTATGTATAAAAGTATTTGCCCTTAGGAAGAATCCTAGAATTCTATCTATATTCTAGGTTTGCAAAAGTGTGCATTTTCAAGAAACAGAATCTTATGATATGTTGGGAATCTCTTATGATAATCAATCCGTGTTTGAAACGTATCTTAAT